GAGTACTCTGAAGCTGAGGAGCTCAGGGTTTTGTGGGTGTTTGTTGGTTTGGTTTTGGTCTCTTTTTTTTGTTTGTTTTGTGGTTTTTTTTTCATTTTGGGTTGGGTTTTTTTTTAATGTCTAAAACTTGCATTTGTGCACTGGTACCTAATTTCTTACTAAAAAAAAGGTATTCTAAAGTACTGTTGTTTTTGTGTGGGAACTGCACCTCAGAGGGAAATTGCCAATTGCCGTAGGCTAAATCCAGAGCTGTTTCACATCTTCTGCAGCTGTACTGAAGCTGGTACAGCTCTGGGGAGGGCACAGGTTGTTCATGGTGCAGGAGGAGGAGGAACTTGTTCGTGCCAGCAGCAGAACTTCAGTCAGCAGGACGTGGAATTTAGCTGAGTTACAGGAACAGAGCAGTTTGTTACAGCTTTTGTTTGTTTACATTAAATGGAGTCGAAGATCTCCATCTCTGAGATGTAACCCAGCTCTCCTATTGCACGTTTGTACGTCTTGAGGAACAATGTGATCAAGTACCAGTTGGAAGATTCCTAACAACATCCCACTAAGTTTTACAGGATCTGTTTCTGTGTGGTGATCCTGGCCTGAACCAATACTTAGCAGGATGAAAAAAAAACTATGTTTTTCAATTCAGCAGCGCTTTTGGTACTCAAAGTCTTTCGGATCAGCTGAAGTAGCTGAATGTGCTCTCAGTTGAGCAGCAGTCAGGCAACTTGTCTGTGTTCACTTCTGGAGGTGAGCTGGGAGTACAGAAGAATAAGAACTTAGTTAAAACGTGATCCATCTGGCATTCATGTCAGGAAGTCAAGTCTGTGCATCGCTTCTGTGTGCCAGGCTTAGCAGACTGAGGAACTTCCTATGATTTGCAGCAATCCTTTGGTATGATTTTCTAGGAGGACTTAATGTGTGAAACATTCTAGTGCAGCAGCCAAATGCCACCTGTGTTCGTAAATCGTGGGGGTTTTTTGTTGGTTTTGTTTTTTTTTTAAAAAAAAAGGTGTCTTTTTAGCGAGTAAACAGTGAAGAAATACTCTCCAGTTGTGCAGAGATTAGTGTAAATAATAACCCCTTATGTGCTTTCCTGCAATAAAATTGGAGAACTTGTGCTATTCTGTTTCTTCTTTATTATATGACCGAACATGGATGCCTGCATGGTACTTGGCTAATAAGATTACTGCACATTTTCTGTGATTTTAATTTTTTAGCACTGACATGTTGTAGCGCAAAGGCTCATAGCCATTAACCTTTGCTGCTGCTTTAGATATTCTTGAATTAAATATCCTTTCTTAGTGCTTCTGCTCTTATAAACTGGTTTTTGGTGTTTCACCTTTGGGGCACTGCTTTGAAAATTTCCTGCACCTCTGACAGCTGAGTTGTTAGTGTCTGACTTGACTTCGGCATCCTCAGTTCAGTTCCTGGCAGACAGGGTTGATGTGTCTCTCATTAGGAAGCTGTGTCTGGGCAGATACTTGACGAGTTGAGCGAGCTCATTACAGACTTTTTCTTTTTTCTTCCTCTCATTTTTGCACTTCACCAGTATTTCTGCAGTTTGTCATCCCAATGAAGTTTCTAATTTAAATGGTGTCCATATGCTCCAGGCCATAATGGATGCTGTGGTAGGCACAGCACTTATTTTCAGTATCAAAAATTTGGCATCTTTCTCTCTTTTTCTAAGCAATGGATCAAAATTCTACTATTTTCCCTCCTCATGCTGTCCTTGAGCTCCTTCCAGGTAATATATTGGGCAAAGATCAGTCACCTTCGGTATTACCCACGGGAATCAAATACTGAAGGGCTGTGGAAAAGAGCTTCCCTACCCAGCCTGTATTTGTGCTTGGCATTGACCATTTCATGCCATGTTCCAATATATGGGAAATCTGAAAGGAAATTTGTATAAAAAGCACGTGTTACTGGAGTTGTTTAAATCTAGATGTTGGCTCTTTCTTCCCATCCCCAGGTTTTTCTGCTCTCAAAAATACCAGAGTTCGCACTCTCTGTGGAGCTGCAAGACCTCGTGTCATCTCAGAAGCATTTCTATCCATTCACCAATTGTCCTTTATTTTGGATAATTTTTGGGCTTCTGCACTGCAATAGCCTATAAGATGATTGATCTCAGAATGAAAGGAAAAACAAAGGGCTGTACTCATGCACAAAGATAATTTGCATCTTTCATCTCTGTTGAAGAGGGAACAGAGGACTTCAGATCACAATCAGCCAAGTACAGGGAGATTCTGTTCTCTCAGATGGCTCCAAGGGTAGGAATACGGTGCCAGTACAGCTGCTGCCACAGGGAGATTGAGCAATCTACAAAGGAAGGGCAAATAATTTGCTAAAAACTAACCCTGTTCAAACAGCTCTCCCCTCTGCACTGTACCTCCTGGTTAGAGGTAAGGGAAGAGGCTCAGGAATCTGGCAGAGCGAGGAAAAGGCTGACCTCATGTGAAAGAGGTGTGGCTTAGTGGTGTGAAAATGTGTTGTCCTGTTTACCATTAACTTTCTGGATTTAATTACACATGGCATCTGTGTGTGGGGAGGCCTGAATGCTTTTAATGGGAAATTCGTATTTAGATTGCTCAAGTCCACAGAAATTCATTAGGCAAATTTGCAAGGAAATTAATGCAATTATCAAGAGCTCTTAAAACAATGCATAAATGTATTGGGAACAACGTTGAAGCCTATGAGATGTTAACTCAGACCTGGCGTGGCTTTCACCTCCCTTATTTTAAAAAGTACAAAAGACCTAAGTGGGCAGGTACGCTTACTGCAAAAAGTACAAAGCAAGTTCTTGGGAAGACAAAAGAACAGGGCATGTATTTTAATAGGGACTGTATGACATCACTGAATCATTTGGGTTGGAAAAGACTGCTAAGATTCTTGAGTCCAACCGTTAACATAGCACTGCCAAGCCCACTTTTAAGCCATGTCCCCAAATGCCACATCCACATGTCTATGTCTTTTGAACACTTCCAGGGGTGGCAACTCCACCCACTTCCCTGGGCAGCCTGTTCCAATGCTTGACAACTCTTTGGGGGAAGAAACTTCTCCTAATACCTAATCTAAAACTACTCTGGTATGACTTGAGGCTGCTTCCTCTTAACCTTTGTTATCTGGGGGAAGAGACTGACCCCCCACAGGCTACAACCTCCTTTCAGGCTGTTGTAGAGAGAGATAGGGTCCCCCCTGAGCCTCCTCCAGCCTGAACAGTCCCAGCGTCCTCAGCTGCTCTTCAAAAGACTTGCACTCTGCACTGCACAGGACAGGTCACCTTAGGTTCCAGCTGACAGAAATGGATTTCCTGTGGAATCCTGTTTCACTTGTCTAAGTTACAATCACTTTTTTCATTTTATTTCACTTGAATCCTCCATTTTATTCTTAGTAGCGGGCACCAGGAAAGCAGAAAGGCTGTCTTTTTACTTTAGTTAGCTAATGCAATATTAGTGGGACTCCAACAAAACAAAGTTTGAAGGCTCTTGGATGCCAAGCTTTGCACAAATCCTGCCTGATGTCCCTTAAGAATGCTGGTCGTGTTGCATTCGGTGTGTCAGTGAGCCTCCTTACAACCTGTTTGTCCTGGCTGCCAGCTCGCACATGCTGCTGCACAAAGATAAGGGCTGGGGACTGACCCGCTCGTCGGCAGAGCAGCTGGGGTGGAATCTTCCTGGCTCCCAGCCCAGCCGCAGCTCGGCTTTAATTTCAGTGTCAGGGTGGGAGTTCACTGCCTACTGGGAAATAGTTTTCCTGGTGGGAGGCACAGCAATGGTGTGTGCGAGAAATCCTGCACTATAAAAGTGCATTCCCATGATTTGGGCAATGAGCCCGTAATTTTAACGAATTATTTATGGCTCTAGCTGAAAGCAGCAATTTAACAAAGACACTGGTTTGAGCTTTGGTGGAATTTTTTTGATGAATCAGTCCCAGCTGTTAACACCATGTAGCAAAGCATTTTCAGGCACCAAGAAGGAAACAGGGCTTTCAGGGACTGGAGCAGCCCAAGTGGAGCAGCCGCCTTTGTGGGAACTGACAACGCTGACTCAGGAAGCTGTGACGAAAGCAGCAATAGAAGACAGGGATGGAAAAGACTTGGAGCAGATAATCTCCTTGTTGACTCTGAAATTTTGTACTGATGGTGGTGAAATTTAGCAGTTTGCCTCTAAAAACAGAAATCCACTTCTTTGCACACTGCAGCTCCCTGTTTTGGAAATGGAATCTTCTGTATCCTGCCAGTTGCCAAATGAAGGGAAGAATTGAGAGGCTGCAGCACAAAGCTGGGTAGGGCTCACCTCTGAAAGTCACCTAGCAATGCAATATGGGCTCGGCTCCTCACATGCCTTTTGGGAGGATGAATTGTGTAGCAGCAGCAGTGTGAGGAACCCACAGTTTTTCTCAAATGCAGGACCTGGGCTGGGCAGTTTTGGTGAAAGTGGCGTCACCATTAATGTGCCACATTAACGTGAAAATATATTTAAAAAAAAATAACCTGGAGGAGAAAGATAACGTGTTTGCTCAATTTCTCCTAACAGTGTAATTCGCATTCCAGTTTTTTAAGTACTGCAGTGTCCTCTCAGCCAAAGCCTTACAAAGCCTCTTCCTATCTGAGGCTGCTTTAAGGCCTAAAAGCTCACAAAATAACGCAAATATAGGACCACAATCAAATGTCAACCACCTTCGCTACAAGATAACAACATTTAATGCAAAACGTCTTCACACTCTGTGGGTTGGTAGGAACTTGTTTTGCTGGCATTCCCTTGGGATGACCACAGCCTTCTGGGTCAGTGGTTCACCTTCTACTTCATGCCAGGCAAGTTATTCAGAAAAATATCACAGTAGTTACAGTGAGCATTTTACCGGCTGCTGCGTCAGAGAACACAGATGCAGCTGGAAAGGCAGTTCCTGCTGGGTTAGATAAGATTTTGCCTCAAATACAGCTACACTAACAGAAAACATTGCTGTAATTAGGAGATTGCAGGATAAAACTTTCAAGTACTCCCTTTCCCTTTACTTTTGCGCCACATTGTATTTTATGACATAAAAGGCTTTAAATGATTACTACAGCAAATAAACAGAAAAAGAACATAGTATTTTGTGCATCTTGGGGCAGGGTCACTGTGTTCTCATATCAATCTAAGCCTCTCTGCTACTGCCTGGGTAGCACCAAGTGCCTCAGGGCTTGTACAGCGTCGTCTTTGTACTTTCATTACTACACACAGAATTAATATGCACAGAACAAGAAATAGTGAGCCTGGTGGGAAAAAAAGATCTACAGTAGGCAACTTGTAACTGGTAATACTAATATAATATTAATAGAAGCCCACCAAGAACAGCAACCAAGAGAACTTTTTAAATTTTCAGTGTAATAATATGCTTGTTGGCGCAGCATTTAAACCATCAGATAATGACAACCAGTAACAATTCTCGCATCCAACCCCACCTTGCCAGCAGCACCTCGCTAGCAGCAATTTAGACTGATTTCCTAAAGATCAACGTTTTATGCTGCTGCAAACTCAGATTTTGTAACACATCTCTCAGGTGATTTTAAGCACGTAGGAACTTCTGAATAGAGATGTATTGGACAACTCAATCCTCAGAACTGGCAATTAATAAGAACATTCTTTAGGGCCCACATTTTATGTTTATACCCTGTAGACATGTTTTCCTCTTTTTCAGGATCAGTATGTAAAATTTAAGTGTCACAATATGCAATGTTCATGCATGAGCAAATATCCCGACTGAAGTCACCAGCAGAAGGCAAAGTTGCATATTCTGGGTTTACTTTTTAATTTTGTTTTATTTTTAACTTCTTTATCCAGTGGTGGTAAAGTGCTTCTTTACTGCTTCAGATCTACCACTTGACTGTGCTCATCAACTATCTTATGGCGGCATTCCAACAGCCAATAATGTAATTTTGGGACATTTTCTAATAAAAGTATTCAAAACATAATCTTCTGATTCAGTCAATAGGAGAAAAGTTAAGCAACCAGACTATGGACAGCCTTCAGAGGAAGGTTAGGCCAATCCCAAGAATATACGGAAATTATTCTGTAATTAAATATACGGAAATTATTCTGTAATTAAATAAATTAATTCCCAGCCGCATTTGGTGAGCTCTCGATTTGTTTAAATCCTGAACTAATGAACCATCCTTGCATTTGAGACCGTCAGTGCACAAATGCCTTGGCACGTAAATTCCTAGTCTGTTGGCTGTAATTTGATTCGGCAGAGGTGTGTCCGTGATTTGGCTGCGGTCAGGGGAGGCGGCATGAGCTGTAAGGCTTCAGCAGGTAGAGTGGAAGACTCCCCCCACTCTGACACCCTGAGCAGCCAGGGTGTTGTACTCTGCCACGGCCTTCTCTGTTTGCAAGACCAGCACATCAATCCCCTTCTCCTTCAGATAGTCCACAGTGGATGCCGGAACCTTGGAAGAGAAAAGGAAATGGGAAAAGCAAGTGTTAGATTCTTTTCCCCTTACACTGGAAGGCTTGAAGAAGAACACTGATGCCGTTTGTTAAGCACCACTTAAGTAACTGGTAATAGCCAAAATGATAATATGCTCTGATATTTCTAAGATTGATTTCATTTTTTCTCTTCAATAAAGCTACTTTTATATTCAAACCTCATATATCTCCTTAGCACACCTTAAAATGCAGTCCTTTCTTGCAAAACCAAATAGAATTGGAGCTAAAGGTATTTAATCTAAATAAAGTCTTATTCATCCCACCAGAAAGCTGAGGAGTTCCTTCTCACCAGGTAAAGCTCAGCACTTCTGAGCTTTCTGTAGATGGTTTATCTGCTGAAATGACAGCCTGGCAACATTAGTAACAAAAATGCTGAATTATCAAAGTATTTACAGCAGACTAGAGAGCCAGTTTATCACCTATTGCAAGAGGAGGGGACTAATGACATACTGAAAAATTCTCCTTGTTTCAGCTGCTCCTGTAGCAGAACATAAACCTGTTTACTGCTTGACATTGACACTAATACAGAGAAGCTCAAATGGTGCTTCTTTCAGAGGGACCCCTGACAGAAGCTCAGTCATGCTAATCCTGAATTTCTTCCCTCTTAGTGAAGCATCTTCAATTTAATTTTTTTTTTCTCTCTAACCAGAGGGAGAGGGAAAACAAACAGTTCTAGTTTATTCCTCTCACAGAACAAAAACCCACCTGCAAAGCCTCGCTCATGCCACGGCCAATCACCACAGTTTTAACACCCTTCTTGACGACTTCTTCAAGGTCAGCGGGCTGCACTCCTGGAGAATGCTAAGTGTCAGGGAAGGAAAATAATAGTCTGTGTATTGACAGCATCAACCAGGAAAGCTGTGTCTGTGTGTTCTGAAACTGTTCACAGAGCAGCAGGGTAAATTAGCCATACCAAAATGTAACACAACCCTCTCTGCATACACAGAGGAGGTAACACTTAAAACTGAAAAGGATATTTTATATGCAGATGAAAGATGATAGTTAATCTATTGATGGCTATATTATAATTTCTTATTAAACAGTCAAAAAAAAGATGCATTACACATTTTTAAGACATTTATGTCTAACTACTGGCGTTTTATAAATATTAAATAAGTGAAATCAATAAATAGCAACACACTGCTGTTTGCTTTCAAATTAACAAAATCTTTTGTAAGAAAGATTGTGGCAAGCCAAAGTTTACTCACTTTAAATACAAAGAGCTCCTCAAATAATTAAAATTATTAAATTATTTTCTTGTTTACTTAGCAAATCTCATTTACCACAGAGAGCTGAAATGTATTGGGTAGCTTTGTTTCAGTTAACAGCTTCCATTTCTGCACTATTCTTTATTTTGAGAAAAGAATATTTGAAACCAAACCCCCCAAAGAATGAAAGAACTTTTGTGATACATCAACTGAGTTTTTAAAGAAGTAAACCCATTTACTCCTAGCACACTTCAAATATTTGAATCCATAAATAATAATGGCCAGTCTTCGCGAGCGAAGATCCGGGGAAGGTCTTTCCACCTTCCAGCCTGCGCATTGGATTTTTTAGGTGAGACACAGTGTGCGCGGAACTGAGCCCACCCTTTAATCCTAAGGTTCATCTGCCCGGGGCCAAGCGAGCTTGGACGGTGGCAGCGAGGTCCTTAGGACATAAATACACCTTCAATATTAATATGAAACACTATTATGCCATACTAACTCTCCTGGATTCAGTTTCTCTGTACAACCTGTAGCCAGAATTTGCCCCTCTTTGGTATGCACTTCTATTTTAAATCATAAATACTATTTCTCTGTGCATATGAACCAGGAAAACAATACTGTCAAACAAACAGTGACTCTCACCACATGACCCCGCCCTTTGAACATCCAGTCCAAACTTAGTTTTTTATAATCAGACCATAAAGGAAATACATTTAAAAAGGTTACGTGCACAGATACCTTTCTCTCTGCAAAGTGCAGATATCTTTGCACAACAGCACCACCTTTCTCTTGGCATAAACTTACTCTGCATAAATTGAGCTCTGATGGCTTAAAAAAGTTCTGTTCCTCCAAATACTATACTTGAAGTTCTGAAATCAAAGGTTCTGCACTCCAGTTGTGTCATAATGAATTCATCAGAGCTGTATCCTCTGTGTGCATACAGCTGCAGATACTGGATATAAGCCCTGGTCAGTACACAGTTCTTCTGTGCTTTAACTTTTGCTTTGAAAGCGTGAAACATTTTTTTCTAGCCAATCATCTATCCCAGTGCAAGTCCTAATATGGGGAGAATTATCAACATTGAGTTCCTAATGCAACAGATTCAACACTGCTTCTAAATCTGGAACATCCACGCTGATCTGTGGACTTTTGTACAATTCTGATTGCGTTTACAGATAAACTTTAAAAGTTACAAGGGCAAGCACTTAGTATAAGGCTTCCAAGAGAAGTCACTGTGTGGTTAGCCAGGCTGAGCTTTTCACACAGAAACGAGTGTGTATGACACTGCATCTGCATATTTTTCCTCTGAAATAAGTACAAGGGACCCCAAGGAAAAGGATATAAACTAAACCACATGCATTGTTGTCTTCCAAACATGTAAGGTCAGTGACTCTTGATTTTTTTACTTCTCATAATTTCTTTTCCTCTCTCACTCAAGGCAACTTTTGTTTAAGAAAGCCTGAAGAGAGGTTGCTACCGACATCTTATGACAAGTGCCCTCTTAGCCAGATGCAGGATGTTGTTTGAAAGCTCTAAGGTGTGTGATTGTTGTCTGGTCAGGGTAGCTGTGAGGACTCATGGCAATGGTTGCTACACCCTGTTGTGTGTAGGACACTGTGCGTCGGCAGCCCTCTGACCTCTCCACACTGTCACCTCCGAAACGTTCACTCAGTTCTTCCCAGGAAAAGTCAAATGACTAGATGACAGAAAAAGGCAACTCGCTGAATTTCTGGCTGGGACTTTAACACTGTTCTCTGGACCGTTCTCAGAGTCCTGTTTTAAATGCAGGGTAGTAAACAGTGAACTTACATTAGTCCCAGTTTCTCGCCAGTCCCATGTCCGGCTTCCTCCCGGCCATACTTTGCAGTCCTTATATGTTGTAGAGCAGCCCTTCACCTTCATCTGACCCCAAGAAAGGGAAGCAATTTCAGGGGAAGACATCACAAAGTTGAAACAAAGTCTGGAAAAAGGATATTTAACATATAACATCAAGCCAACATATGCAGCATGTTAATAAAAACGGAAAATTCTGTCCTTGCCCCAAGGAGCTAGGAAGGAAACGCTATTACAGACTTCATCCACGTGATTTTGTGACAACAGACTTGAACTGAGGATCAGCAGATTTGTTGAATTACCAGTCCCCTTGGGGATTTTGTGCGGGATTTTGGGCAAATCATTTTACGTGCTAAATCTGTACAAGTATTGGGTGTTCAACTTTTAAAACTATCAACAGGGATCAAATGCCAGAATATCCTCTCACATCTGGGTTTTAATCTTCTCCCTCAAGTGTACGATGAAGATGATAACAATTTCCTAAAATATCTGAGATCTACACTATTAATTTGGCTGCTTCACTGAAGTGGCAAGTGAGGCTAAAAAGAAATGCCAACCAACCAACCAAACAAACCCAACAGAAAAGCCATGAACCAAACAGTGGCACTGCCATACTGCTACAGCAAAGAGGACTTCCAGGGGTGTAAAGGGGTCAAACCTTCTTTCCCCCGTCCCTCCTGACAGAGGGCAAGTCTCCCACAACAGTTATACACCCAAACTGCAACTTATCTAATTGTTTGACCTCAATCTTCGTTGTTTCAACTTAAACCCACTATTTCTAATTCTTTCTGTTGAGGACAAGTAGAACAGCTTAATTTTTGTCTTTTTCACCACTTTTTTGTTTTCTTGAGGATTTCACTCAGTATTTCCCCCCCCTTCATTTAGATCAAATAAACTTCCCTTCAGTCATGTTTTCTAAATCTCTGCTTATTTCCTCCTTTTTTTCTGTGGCATCCAGCAATCTGGTATGCATCTTTCTTTGATGTCTGTTGCCTGGAACTAGACAGAGCCTTATTGATGCCGCTATAGACCAACTGCTTTTTGGTGTGTGCCGCAGCAATGTTTGGATCTGCTGTCACAGGCACTGCTGGGCACCACCAGGGCAGGGGCTCTGCCTCACAAAATACCGTGTTGTCTCACCACGGAAGCTTTCACCCTCCTCACAGTCCCTCATGTTACTGCAGTCCAATTGCTGGTGTGATTCTGGCAGTAGAGGGAAAGCGAGAAATCACAGGGTGATGATATACCCTGGAAGTGTGTTGGACTAGCACGGCAGTCCACTGACACATCTCAGGGGTAGAGTCACCTTTCCTCCCTTCCAGTTCACCTCGTCTGAAATCCACATTATGAAGAAAATCAGTAGTTTCTGCAGTAAAATGAGGCTCCACCTCTGGCTAATCCAGAAAATCTCTCTGAGAGATCCTTCCAGATACAAAGATTTTCATCCTTTACTTTTTAGTTGTTTAAATTCACCAGGAATTGAATTGTGTAAATTCAGCATAGGAACCCTGGTGGCACAGATTAAAGGCACTGCCCTTGCAAAAGAGAAATCTTTGGGTGACCAGTCCTCCTGGAAGCCTCCCTTCCCATCTTGCACGTGCTACAACAGACACAGCACAGTTAGACATGTTGTCCTCGGATTGCCAGGAGCAGGCCTCAGTATCCGCCTAAAACACAGCATGAAGGAAAAAAGGTTTTGGATCCAGCACAGGACTGAGTTTGCCAGAGGTGCTTCTCACACAGGATGAGGGGCAACTCTTTTCCTTCTCACTCCTGTGTGACATTTGTGGCACATACACATTGCTGAACAGGAAGCCAGGCAAGAAGCTACAGGGGACTGGAACTTGCTTGGATTCATATATCCTAGATTCTCTCATCACACATCCATGATGCAAGGGATTCAAACAAAGGCTTGTACGACTCTTTTTTCATAAGTCTGCCTGAAGGGAGACTGTAGCTGAAGAAATAACCAGCAATAGTCCCGACAAAATGAAATCGAAGAGTAAACGCTGAACAAAGCACTCAGAACCTGGCTCTGAAGAATCAAAATAATTTTTGAGTGTACTACTTTTGAGGGGAGATGGTAGAATTAGACCTTAGAGGTTGGACAGAGGTGAATGAACGATAAAATGATCAGGAGTATCAGCTTCCCCAATCCAAATAGTATTACAAGGCTGGAACTGCGCAATCTAACAGGCACAAACTGCAAACGGGAGAGCAAGGATTCCATGCTATCTTTTCCGAAGGGCACAAAAATAAGTAAGTAGAAGAAATGAAGAAACAAAACTTACATGGCATAAATACGGATTTGTAATCTAAAACTATTTCCTGTAATACTGCCAGAGAATATCGGTTAGGGCAGGCCATTCGACTAAATATGAGTAGCTTAGACTAGAATAAGTGAGAATGAACTTATTGACAGGAACTTTGGACATCTTTTGATGGAGGGCATGGTCCAATCACAAAGGAGTAGGAAAATAATTCTCAGATAAATTATTTTTTTAAATTATTGACTGTGAGAAGTGTACAGTATAAAAATTTACAGTAGCAAAATAAAAGAAACCTTGAAGTAAATGACTTGCAAGTACAACCTAAAATAGCAATTTCTGTAAACTGCAGTAGTCCAAACACAAAGAGACAAGGAGAAGAGATGGTTCAGGGCTCTGTAAGCAAAGTCATGGGAGTTTAAAAACATCAGAAATAAAGGAAGCAGAACTTAAAAGGAGGCAAAATCCAAGTTTATGTCAGGAGACTCTACTGAGAGACAGAAATGAAGCAGTGGCTAAGGATGGCAGAAGACAAAAGTAGCTGAGAACGAAATGGAAGAAACTTGAGATTGAAGTGCAGTTGGGCAACCTGATGGATTTTAAGATTGCCAGCACACCTCCCTTCTGTTCCAGAGCAGCACCCAGCAGCAACAAATGGAATAAAAGAGGCAAATGAGGGCAGTGCACCAGATAATATTTTACTGAGACACTGCAGAAGGAAAGAAACGTTTCATAAAATCCACAGGGCAACCAGGAAGATAAAAGTGAAAGAGTAAACTGGTGTATGTGAAATTTTGGGCAGAACAAACTCCTGTAAGGGGTCGGAAGACAACGTAGTTCTTCAGCACTGCCTGGGAACAAGGTCAGGAGGTGGAGGTGAGAGAATTCCCATTCCAGGGGATACAACAGGTGGAGAGCCAGGTCAGGATTAAAAACAGCAGAGAGGGAAGTTAGAAACGCCAGGAGAAATTTAAGCGAGCTGTGTAGGAAGAGGGAAGATCTCAAGTTTATGAAGGAGGAAAACACATTTGGGGAATTCGACAGTTTCACTTCGCCGGGGAGCCTGGTCAAGGCGAGTTAATCCGGGGGGTCACGCTGGAAAGGGGGGTGCTGGTAAGAGAAGGTGGGGACAGCACTTTGGGAACAAGGTGGGGAGAAGAAGGAGGCGAGGACAGAGAACGCAGGGAAGCGCCACGGGATAGGAGTATAGGGAAAGGGAGAAGGGAGGGCACAGCTTTGGAACCCCCCGAAACCTGGCAGTGCGCGACGGGGCGCAAGGACCAGGACCGGGACGGGGACTCGGATCGGGCGAGCGCCGTGCCGAGGCGCAGTGCCGGACCGGGACCGGGACCGGAGCCGCCTCCTCCCCGCCGCCCCTCACGCGCCGGACTCACCGCCCCGCGCGCAACACCCCTCTGCCCCGGCGCGCGCCGCCTCCGCCCGGCCCCTGCGGCCGGGGGCGGGGCCTCCCCGATACCGACCTCTCATTGGCCAGCGCTCCCCGCCGTCCCCGCCCACCGCCCGCTCCGATTGGCCAGCCCTGCGGTCCGTCCCCGCCCCGCCCCGCTCCAGCCCCGCCTTGTTTTCATTCCCCCGCGCCGCGCGCGGCGGAGGGGAGCCGGCTCGTGCCGCTCTGGCCGCCGCCCCCTGCCCTCCCCTGCCTTCGCCGTGCCCCCGGTGCATTGTGGGATAGTGGCGGCCCGGCCCGGCAGCGCCCCCTCCTCCCTCCCCCTCCCCAGCTCCTTCTCCATCCCCAGGTCCAAGATGGCGGCGGCGGCGGCTCCTCCGGCCCCATCCCCGCCGCCCCCTGCCCCGGCGGGCCCGCGCTGCCCGGGCTCCTGGCCCAACTTCGCCGTCGTCTGCTCCTTCCTCGAGCGCTACGGGGCCCTGCTGGACCTGCCCGAGCTGCCCTTCCCCGAGCTGGAGCGCGTCCTGCAGCCGCCGCAGGAGCCCGGAGACCAGGGTGAGCGATCCCGACACGTCCCCCCGCCCGCCCGGCCCGGGCCGGCCGGCTGAGGGGGGCCCAGGGGGCGGAGGGGGCGGGGCTGTTCCCCCCCCGCCTCCTCCCGGCCCCGGGGGTGGAGCGCGCCGAGGGAGAGGAGGGGCCTGGGATTCCCGGGGGGAGGGGAGCCCTCGCTCCCTGGGTTTTTTAGAGGGGACCAGCTCTTTGCCGGGGGGAGGGGTAGTTGTAGTTGTCTCCCCCTGTGGCGGGGCACGGGAAGGAGCAGGGCCAGCTGCCCCGTCCCCTCCCCTCGCTCTCAGTGCCGCCTGTGACCCCCCCTTCCCGCTCCGTCCCTCCCTCCCTTCTCCCCCCCCACGACGTTTCCCTGGGTTCGTTCTCGAGCTCCGTGCGGGTGGGACTCCTTGCAGAAAGGAGGGACAAGCCGAAATAACTATTTTCGTTCAGCTTGGCGCTGGCAGCCGCTCTCTCTTCCATCTCCTCCCTTCCCCCCAGCTTGGGGGTCTCTCCACCATCCCCCTCCCCCATATTTCTTATATATCTAATGTATCTATCTGTTTTTGCTTGTCCCCCGAAACACGGAGGGAACACACACTCGAGGGAATGTCCTGATGCCTCTTGACACACCCCCCTCGCCCCTTTCCTCTCCGTGTATGTGGGATGAGGAATTGGGAGCGCGGGGAGGCCCCGAGCCCCCCCCCCCACCCCGGCTGCTGTTGTGGGCCGTCTCCTCCCCACAAACACAGCCAGCCATTGTGTGCCACCTCCATCCCTCTCCTCTCCCCCCTCCTCCCTCATCCCCTCTGTAGTTGCGGGGGGGATAAGCTGTGGCTGCTCCCCCGCCGCCACCTGAGACGTGCGAGGTGGAGGGATGGGCTGTGCACTCCGCTGTTTGCTTTCAAGCTGCTCCTCCTCTCCCCTCCCCTCTCTCCAGCAGCAGGTTTGGTTGCCTGACTCTTTTTAATTCCGGCTCCCCGCGATGGATGCGGGAGGGCCCGGGCCGCGGGATCAGGCCGGGGAAAGGAGGGCTGTGTGGAGGCGGCCGTAGGAATACGGAGGGGAGGGAGCTTGTTGCTCTTGATCTCTTGTCTCTGTTATTCGCTTGGTTGTTGCCTCTGCACTCTTGCCACATAGGGAGACCATGGAGCCCACGGCGCATGCCCGGCAAGGCCCCTTGAAAACTTCCTGCTGCTGGAGAATCCCAGCTCGGGGCTCTTTCTGGTCCAGCAGACCCTGCTTTTCCCCCGCAAGGCACCCGCTCTCGCCTCCTTCCCCACCAAACCCACCCCGTCTGGGGCGTGCGCCATTAAATCGGCGTGTAGGTGTTTCCTTTCATAAAGGAAGTTGCTTTCTGCCAAGTGCAGATGTCCTGCCTGTGGGTTCACAGCAGCCACTGCTGAAATGGAATGAAATAAGATTAATGTATTTTCTGCTCGTGTTGTCTGGTGCCTAGTCAATACGAAAAAAAAAAAAAGACAGCTGAAATCCATAAACTTCTTAAAACAGTGTTAACTTTCTGGGAAGTGCGTATTTGTATTCAGTTCCCCACCACTCCTGTACCTCTTATGTTATATAAAGGACTCATTAGAAAAAACGTTGTTTTGTTAAACTGTTGCAGAACTTATTCATAAAAATCACCAACACACTTAAAAGTTTGAATTTTTAATAAAAATAATCCTTTTGAAGTCATGTCTATAAAGAAAACTGATGGTTTTACTGTGACACAATGTCAGTGGGTGTGCTATAGTAATTTTCTTGTGTAAAATGCAAAATAAATTAAAATGAAAGGATGAGATAGTGACCTATGGTCTAAGTATATATAGCCCTGATTAAAAAAAAAAAAAATTCTTGATGACTTTTAATTGCATGATGGGTGGGAAGGGTTGTCAGTGGGAGAATGTTTACTGCTAACTCTTTTCTGAAAAGGTTTTGAATTATTTGCACTGTGGAGTTTGCATTGTGCACTGATTTGATATGTTCAAGTTTTTAAACTTTTCTCTGTTTGTTTTTCCCCTTCCTGTGTGGCAGAGGGTGGGTTATTTCCCCCCCTCCCTGCCCCCAAATGGGAGGAGATGCAGCTTCTGAAAATGCGCTCTCTGAAGTGCTGGGTTTTTTTGCTTGTGTCTGGTGTAGTTGATGTATTTGGTTGCATTTCTCATCTCTAAGAAAGAAAGTGTGGACGTGTGAAAAACAAACTTGTGTGATTCTTGGTACTTTGTGTGGTGACTGGTGTGACAGGGGTTTTCTTTTCCTTTGGTACAACCAGCTCCTTTGGCTTGGTCTGTGGTGCCGGTACCTGTTACCTGGAGTATTTTGTGCTCTTGCAAAAACGGCAGCAGTGGCTAGATTTTTCTACGTGATTTTTTCTTCAAGTAGTCCCCAAGGTGGTGTTTTTAAGGGTACAGTTCATAAGGTTACTAAACATAGATTGAAAATTGAAGTGGCTCTTTTATTTCTGAACATCTTTTATTTACCAACTGTATGTAGTTTTCCCTGGAATGCAAAAGGGATTTTGATTTCAGTTATATAGTTAGTTATTATATAGATATTCAGTTAGTTTCATTTTTGATACCAGCATTGCTTGACAGTAGATTTACAATGGCAGTAATACATAACAAAATCTAAGGAAATAGTTACAGAACTCTGAAGTATTGGGTTTTTTCCTGAATTTCTTAAAAACTGGAGCAAGTTTTAAATCTCAACGCCACATAACAGCTATTTGTAACTCCTCTCCATATTCATTTTGCAATCAAGAAAGGGAATTGATAGTCTAGGGGTTTTTTAGTTATCTTTAAAACTGTTCTGATGCTCAGCAGTTTCAATTTTTTATTTTTTTTTTTTAGTTTTGTTTGTGTTTTTTCTTTTTCTTTTAAACATGGCCTATATTGTCTTGTCTGAAGAGTTTCTCTTGGGAGATGCCAGAAGAAGTTATTTCCTTTATATTAGAAACCCCAAGGAGAACTCAGAGCTTAAGTTTGAATGTTGTTCAGTAGTTGTATAACAATCATATTTTTCTTCCCTGTTAATAATTAGAACAAAGAACTTGTTCATTATTAAGGAAACAAACTACAACCTTCCCTCACAGGAAGGGGTGCTGAGCAGATGTTGACAGCTAGGAAGCTATCAGTTATTTCTTAGAGGGATTTTAGTGGTTTTTTGTTTAAATGCTTGGACAGCGCTTAAACTTTGCTGTATTGCCACTCCTAGCTGAGAATTTCAAGACAATAGTAAGGACAGCAGTGCTTGGATATGAATAGTTTTCAATAGTAGTCTGACTAGTTTAGATACCAAATTAACCTGAATTAGTACCAGGCTAGATGTTTTAACCATGTGTACACAGGTATGGTCTTAAAGTGCACAAACCAATTTAAAATGTTCTTTGGGATTTAGTGGGTAACTTAAAACATACTTGAATACGAAAGTAAGAATGTGTGGTGTTGGTTTCACCAATCGCTTTTGAATAGTGGGATAAACTGGTAGCCCTGGAAATATAATAATGGCCAGTCTTCGCGAGCGAAGATCCGGGGAAGGTCTTTCCACCTTCCAGCCTGCGCATTGGATTTTTTAGGTGAGACACAGTGTGCGCGGAACTGAGCCCACCCTTTAATCCTAAGGTTCATCTGCCGGGGCCAAGCGAGCTTGGACGGTGGCAGTGAGGTCCTTAGGACGTAGGTGGGTTGCCTTTAAGGGCTAACGAGCCCCACCTGCCCGGGAGTGGCCCTGACCGGGAATCGAACCCGGGTCTTGGCGGTGATAGCGCCGCGCCTTTACCACTAGACCACCAGGGGCTCCACTTAGCCCTGGAAATAGTCTTCTTACAAAGGCTGTATGATAAAATGGCTTAGCTTTTCCAGCTGGTGGCTCATTTGAAAGTTGTAGCTGTTCAGACGAAGTAATAAGACCTGTAGGTATCTGATGAAGATTTTATTTTATGAAGAATAATTGCCTTTGAAGAATAATCTTGCCTTTATGAATGCTTAGTTTTGATTTAAGTACAATGTTGTGACTTGGGTTGGAATTATGACAAACTTGTTAGGAAGGAGTGAAGTTGAGTGTCTGTCAAGATGGTTAACAGTGTTAACTCACAAAATCCATTAGTTTATGTGCCTCAAAACCTAAATGTTTTCTTGTAGATTTTATTAAAAAGCTGTGTTTTAACCCCCATCAGCAACTCAACCCCACTCGGCTGCTTGTTGACTCCTGTGGTGGGATGGGGGAGAGAATTAGAAGGGTAAAAGTGAGAAAACCAGTGGGCTGAGATAAAGACAGTTTAATAGGGATACCAATATGAGGAATTTATTCATGCTTTCCCACTGGCAGTCAGGTGTTCAGCCATCTCCAGGACAGCAGGGCTCCATCATGTGTAAGGGTGACTTGGGAAGACCAATGCCATCACTCCCAGTGTTGCTGTCTTCCTTGTTCTTCCCTCAGCTTTTATTGCTGGGGATGACTCCATATGGTCCGGGATATCCCTTGGGTTGGTTGGGGTCAGTTGTCCTGACTATGTCCCCTCCCAGCTCCTTGTGCACTCCCAGCCTCCTTGATGGCGAGGAGGGGCAAGGAGCAGAAAAGGCCTTGGCTCTGTGTAAGCTCAGCAATAACAAAAGCATCCTGGTGTTCACTGGCACAGGTTGCCCAGAGAAGCTGTGGCTGCCCCATCCCTAGAAGTGTTCAAGGCCAGGTTGGATGGGGCTTTGAGCAACCTCTGATCTAGTGGATGGTGTCCCTGCCCACGTCAAAGGCTTGGAACAAAGTGATTCTTAAGGTCCCTTCCAACCCAAGCCATTCTAGGATTATCAATGCTGTTGGGAGCACAGATCCAAAGCACAGCCCCATACTGGCTACTATGAGGAAAATTACCTCTATCCCCTCGAAACCTAGCACAGCAACCCAAAATATGATCCTAACTGGAACTTGTGAGGGCTGGGAGATGTCATTACAACCATATTACTGTACTTTCAGATGCAAAACTAAGGTAACGATATAGACCATGCTGCAGTGTG